TAAACCAGCACAAGGGTGAACGATGAGGAGAAGAACTGAGTACAACGTATAAAACGCTGGACAAAGAAGTAAAGAAGAGTGCGCGCCACGACAACAGACACTTCTACGACACATCGGCAAGTGAAACAGAACAGGCTGCAGGTAGAGGAGATAGTGACTTGACAGCCTTGTATCAAATAACCAGGTTACTATCTGGTAGTGAAGAGTTCAACACAGATGAAACCAATAAAAGATGATGAAGGCAATTTAATTAGGAAAGAAGAGAAACAAAGGAAACGATGGGCCGACCACTCCAGAAAGCTGTCGAATCGACCACCACCTGCACTTCGTCCAGAGATACCACCAGCTGCTCAGTCACAGAATTACCAGCGAACACAAACCCTCCAACTAAAGTGGAAGTCTTCAACGCCATAAAGCTACTGAAATGTGGGAAAGCGGCAGGACAGGATGGAATCTCGCCAGAAGCATTGAGAACAAATGCAGGAACAACAGCAGACATGCTCACATCACTATTGCAAAAGGTCTGGAAGGAAGGAAAGGTACCTGGCGATCGATTCGAAGAAGGGCTACCTTGTCAAACTGCTGAAGAAGGGAGACCTAAGTGTTTGCAAGAAATGGCGAGGAATCGTGTTTCATCTCTGTCCACCCCAAGCAAAATATAAAGCCGCACCATCCTGGAGAGACTACAGGTTGCGCTGGATTCAAAACTACGACCAGAACAGGCTGGCTGGATTCAGGAAGAACAAATCATATGCCAATCAAATTGCAACACCACTCAACACATCACTGAACAGAGTATAAAATGGCAGTCAACCCTCTACCTCAACTTCATCGACTTTGAAAAGTCCTTCGACAGCGTCGACCGTGAAGTGATTTGGAAACTGCTCCAACACTACGGTTTCAGTGCCACAAACCTTTATCAACTTCACTCAACAACTATATGAAGACGCCACATGCCAAGTAATTCACAATGGGAAGTTCAGTGATGCCTTTGAAATGAAGGCTGTCTACTATCACCCATGATCTTCTTGATTGTGGTCGACTAAACTGGACCGGATCATGCAACAAACTGTGAGGAGCGAGAAGAGGGGGATACGTTGGACCGGGGAAGATTTCGCCGATGATGACTTATGTCTAATATCTTGTCGCACAAACTCGAAGATCTATGGGCGAAAACGAACAAGTTGGCAGAGAAGGTGAGGCAGCGAAGACGGACTTCAAGTGAACGTGGAGGAGACAGAGGTGATGAGGATATCCAACCAACACCATCAACAACAAGCTCCAATCACCATCAAAGGGAGAAACTTGAAGGAAGTAGTCTCTTTCACCTACCTAGGCAGCATCGTCTCAAGTACACGTGGTGGCACAGATGAGGATGTCGAAACCAGTATCGGAAAAGCAAGACAGGCTTTCATTAACCTGAAACCAGTTTGGAGATCTACTGCAGTCAGCACAAAGAACAAGATCTGGATTTTCAACACCCATGTCAAGTCGGTGCTGCTTTATGGTTCAGAAACTTGGCGCGTTACGAAAGGGATTTCCAACAAACTACAGACATTCATCAACAGCTGCCAACGCTCGATACTGAAGATCAGATGGCCAGAATAATAAGAATAAACAAGGAGGGGCTCTGGGAACGAAGCAACCAAGAACATATCACCCAACAAATATGCAGAAGAAAGTGGAGATGGATTGGACACACACTGAAAAGATCGATTGCGGTCATCACCAGCCAGGTCAGGCCGTCGAGTGGAATTCAGGGGGGAACCGACGAGTTGGGCGTCAGATGAGAGGGTGTCAAATGCCTCAAGGGTTAATGGCCTCTTATGAAGAATTTAGAAGTCTCATTCCACACCATAACAAATCCCCCTAAAATGACTTTGCAGTTATTTTTTATCCTTAGAGTTCTGTTTATTGTTTTTGCATTTGAACCTGTTCCTATACCTATTTTCCCTACTCTTGGTGTTACTCAAACTCACAGGAGTACGTATATAACTTTATTCATATTGGTAAAACTTTACTTGCATGTGGCTTTTGTAATGTAACTTATTTAACTGTAATCTGCTGTGTTCTAAGTTTTGCTTTACGTTGCTCAAGACTACGTAAGAAGCCGGTATTATTGTGACTGTACTTTGACTTTGTGCTTGAGACATTTCTGCTGTTTGATCTGGCTCTCACAGGCAATTACTTCGGTTCCTTTTTCGGAAATACTCTCAGTTTGTCGTGAGTATGTAACCTTCATCACTAACTGATCCTTTTCGCCATATAAATTCATGTTTCGTATCAAAGAAGTGATTGTTAACTGCATAGTGTATGATGTTTAGGTAGCAGCGCAGTTGTAACTGCATCAGCTGTGTTATCTTTGAAATTAGTTTTGGTTACTTTTAACTCAGGGAAGCTAAGTACACCATACAAAAAGAACACAGTTGCATCTTTTGGTCGATTCGAAATCTGTTCTAGCCTCTGCCCTGCTTTCTGGCCAAAGTAATTGTATTTTTGTTGCTATGGTATTCAACAACGGAAGATTTTTTGGATGATGCCTGTTTCTCAAGACAAAAATCTACCGGTGATCAGATGGGTCAGGATATCGGCAGATCACCACTAAGCCCAGAATTGTATCCGCCAAATTACGGGAAAATGAACTTTAGAGTTCTGGCAGTTACAGAATAGACATTGGAAACAGATGCCAGACCTTTAACAAGATTTGAAGTTGTTAGAAGGAAATAAATACTTAAAGGATGAAGCACGATTTTGTCACATGAAAATGAAAATTGGCTGAACTAGCTTCATGAATCCATCCACCTTTCTTAATCGACCAGTGTCTGCAAGTCGCGAGATTCTGCTGGTGTCAAGTATTCTTGTGAAGTAAATTGTTATGAAAAAAGAAGCCAATACAACGTTGTCGTCAAGTAGAATAAGCTTTGAACTGTCATAAGTTGAGTTGTACACCTTCGACGAATAACTAGCTGCACACTGGCCATTAATGGGGATATTTCCAACTACACGCTGCACCAAGAATGGTATATGATGGTCAGCACTTATTGCATTAGCTATATTACTGTGAAGGTAAGGCACGCGGAGGTATACAAGAATTCAACCCTAAGAAAATAGTAGAAGGGCAAGTGGAATTGGGATGTGTCGTCAAATGTTTTGGAAATTCCCTAAATGACTTACTCTGTCAGGGACCAGATAGGAAAACGGATTTGGTTGGTGTATTGTCGCGTTTATGCTGATGTAGATGAGACGCTTACTCAGGCAATGGTCCTTTGGTCTGATCGGGGCTTTTTTGGTGGCCATAGGATTACTTCTCTATGGATCTCGTAGATCAACAAATATCACGCCCCTTCTGTTAAGTGTCGTAGCCATTCGAGGCATAGTTTGGGCTGACCAAGACGGCTCAGATGTTTTTGGAAGATTATGACAGCTATGCATTGGAAGCAGTCAGGCGTAAATTCCATGTTGGCGACTAACTAGTGTCTTCATCGAGCAATGAAGTCACAAAAGAGCTGGTGAAACGGTTAGATCAAGTGATGATACGACGTTCCGAATTCAAAATGTCGGTGGATTACCCAGAGTTAGGGAGTACAGTTCTTTTGAATTCAAACAGTACAAAGACCTCTGTTGACTTGCACACAAGTCAAGATTGTACTCACAGAGCTCTAGGTCTTGAAGAGGACATAAAATTCGATGTTTCCAAAATTTATTTCAACCCAATTGAAAAGTGCTTGACGAGGAGACGAATACTATCCATCTCTTCAACCTTATTTGACCTACTGAATGTGACTACTCCAGCTTGCCTTCTTGTCAATTAATTCTTATAGAGTCTTTGAAAGTTCCATATTGTTCAACGTCAGACCATCTGTTCCGGTGCCGAACCCCTCTAGGTAGTGTCTGTTTGTTTGATTAGAGTCTCAAACAAATCTCTTCTCAAGGAGTATTAGAAATGAGAATACAAATGATGTTAAAACGACTGAGTCGCACGTATTTTGGGATGCATCTGTTAAATCTGGTCATGAAACATTCCTCAACGCCAAACAACATACAGCTTATTGCTTTATAGCAAAGCTCGGGTTGTTCTCTAAAACGTGACAGTGCCGAGGTTATGGTTCGCTGCCATAATCTTCACTGCATGAATGAGTAGAGTTTCGAGGAAAATTGTTCTGGACATTTTCGACTAGTTCTACTTTAAGACAGATTTCGTGGTCGTTCTATACTACACGAAAGACGCAGAGAATCAGTAGAGCATGTATGTGACCAACTGGTTAGCCATTATTCACAAGTGTTCATTCGCGAAACCATATGGGTAGTTTATGTCTGGCGTCTGGGTTTGCGGATTGGAATTCACAGGGCACATGGAGAGAGTGTGATCTCCAGTCCTGGCTTTAGGGCCCATAATTCGCAAGAAATCGATTTCTTAGACTCTATGGTGGAAGGAAGGATGTACCCAAAAACATTTAATTTAGAAGGTTTGTTCCAGGCGTCTCTGAGTCGACAAATGATCCCATTCTCTTATACTATTTGGATTGGGTAAAGTTAATTAAGGCTGTGGCATGTCTAAAATGATATGTGGGCCACATAACTACTAAGTACTGGCATCACCAGAGTATGTCACTGAATGTTAACTATCTAACAGTTGAGGACATGGAGGCAGTTAGACAAAGTATTACGTAATACGAATTCAAATGAAGATTGTCGCTGGATTCAGTGTGACTCTGAATGACAAAATTGTATGTTGAGCTGTTAAAATTGGTCTTCTAAGTTGTATCTTTAGAGTCTCGTATTCATTAGCTGTTTAGCATCATATCTCGTAATATATAGTGTAGCTCTTTTTATCAGGTCACCTATTATGATCTCTGTTTGACATCACATGAGAAGCCTAATGATGCTGTAGTATTAATTTACAGTTTCTTTTAGTGAATCACTTTGTTATGCAACTGTGTACAATATGATATTGTTTGTAGAAAATATAATTGGGAACAAGTTTAACGGAGTAGCTTTTGCAAGAAATGGGAATAATTTTCATTTATTTTTACGGAAACAAAAAGTGTTAATTTGTTAAAAATCTAAAAACATGAGTGTTTTGAAGTCAAACGATTATAGTTTTTTGCTTTGGGTTGCCAGAATGCATCATTCTTCCACTCCGGGTTTTTTGACCAGAGCAGCGAATAATGGCATTCTCAATTTGTTGTCATATATAAAACAAACAAACGGTTGATCAACAGTAAATGTTATATTGGCAGGCTTAATATAAAAGCTGCGACCAAGCGAATACAATGATGTAGCCGCAGTTGCCTCAACACCCTTCTCATCGACTTTCAAAACTGTCGACTGACGCAGATAATCCACTTTTAAATTTTTAACATTCGCGATACCTAGATAAAATTAGGGCAATGTAAAATACCATATTAGTACTTAGGTTTATTATAAAAGCATGCAGATGGGGTTTAAATTAACTAATATGCATCAGAATAATCCTCTTTTCTCTTGCAAACTATTCTGTGTGGCTGGTGATCATATTCTAATACACTTACATCATTCATTTAGCCAAAAATAGCATCCTAAGAATGGAAATCTTTACATAAGACCGGTTCTCACTGGTCTCGACAATCTTTTGTAGCCAGTATGTCATCACTTCAAACCAGTCTTTGCCTGTCAATGCTTGAGAACAATATTCACATTGTATTGTGGTGAGGAAAGTGTTGTTCTGTTATATACAATAGCTTTGAAAAAATATTCCAGTGAAAAATCTGTTCTTACATTCTCCCTCTTGACACGAAACAACAGTAAGACCTCATGATCGTTTGAAGTTTCATTTGCCTTACTCTAAAATATAAACCAAACAATTAATCATCTAACTGAATTTGATAAGAGTTTCGTGCAAGATATTTAAATTCGGTTGGTATTTCTCAAACCAAAAGGCAATCAAAACCATCTTTTCCTTACAACCACTTCAATTACCTGATAAATTTGCTTTCCAGCCGACAAACATGTCAGATACTCCCATCTTTTTCATTGTTTGAATCAGATCAAGTGTGTTTGAGATTTTGAATTTAGGCATTTGTATATACACCGTCTTTTGTTGTAGTCCGCGAACAAAATATGGTAATCTTCTGATTCCTTTTAATAGATTCAGTGCTCTGTTTAGATTAAATTTTTTTATAGGTAAGGCAATAACGAATTTGAAACGGGAATTCTATAGGACAAAATATGATTAAAATGAAATTTGATTAGTTTTAGGAGCGGATCTTGATGAACTGTTTACTTCATGTCCAACTATGTAAGCAGCAAGAAATAAGATATTTTCAAATTTAATTCAGTGGCTTAAGGAGAGAATTGACTTCTAGTACGTCTTGAGAACTGAAGGAACTTCATAGACACAGACACGCAGGGAAATGAAATAAAAGCACTGAATCGCTTAAGCGTTAAACACAATAATGACACATAAAAGCTTATAATTTTGTTGTATTATAGTTTCAGACCCACAACCTCTAGAAAGGATATCTTATGACGCCATCCAACTTTTGTATTCTAGATCAGGGATGTTCGGTTGTAGCCATTTCATAAAAAGCAAATGATTTTAATTTTCTGAGCCAATGATAGACACAGTATGATAATTCGAAACAATTTTTTATCTTTCTTTAAACGACCGATTCCTTTTTAGCACTTGAAGGAAACTAAGAACATCTGGAGTTGCAGAATGTTGTAAGTCCATTGGTTTTTCTTTCATTATCTCTAGCCACGAACAAGACAGAAACACACCTATTTTAGAAATTAAAGAGTGTCAATATACTTTAGATTTGTGAAATCAAGAGTCGACCAAAGGTTTAACGGCTATGAAATTATAGTTTCAAAATATTAGTTTACATTCGTTCATTTGGTAGAGAAATGCTATGCATAAATGTAAGCGATACAAACCACAAGTTAAGCTTAATAAGACATGCAATTTGTTGTTGATTGATCACCTAGAAAGATCTGGTTAGCGCTAACTCATGCCCTAGGTTTATTAAAAGCATTGCAGTCATTTTGTTCAGGCTTGTACTTTACAAAATATAACGAATTCATTATCCTCTGCAAATTTTGCAGTTCTTGCTTTATTTATGTTGTAATTTTCACGGATTCTATGATTGTCGGGAGCAGCAAATCACCCATTTGTCTCCATGAATCAGGCGTAAACAACAGTTGCATCTTTTTAATATGATGAAAAGTTAGACTCTCGAGAACTTTCGGAATAAAGAAATTTTTAATACTGATTCTCTGAGATCTATCAAATCTGACCAGTTAACTTGGATAGTGAAATTAAGACTCATCATTAACTTACACCAGAAGACATCATCAAATTAGTTTCTACAACCTAGTCTTTAGTGAAATCCTTAAATTGATATATGAATCATCGTATAAATATATATTGTTTCAGTTCTCCCTTTTATATTCACTTTCATATGATATGTTTAGTTTCAAAGACATAAATAAGAATAATCACAGTGGACAGCGTCTTTTAAATCTTTGACGACAAAATCTGTTCAAACACCAGAAAATCCACACTTTTACACAAGCAGAAAACCACACTTTGTCTGGTGATCAGAGTATTTGGGACAAAATATGCTCATCCCTTCCTATTACTAATTAAAGATTAGAAAATTTATCTTTTCCTAATGCAAACGATACTCAGCAAGGTATACTGTTTTTATGCATGTCGAACAAATCTCCTTCATGTGAGGTACAAAATAATCATTTTTCCTCATGTTGTCTTATGGTTAGTACCTCATGAAGATGTTAGCTTTATAAAATATCGTGAAAGTGGCACATTTTGACTATGCTCCATATGGAATATGCAAAACAGTTGTGAACATCCGAAAATACTGTTTTCCAAAACAGAACCTACGAACACAAATGAGTCAGGAATAAATTCAGAATATACTTTAGGTGTTTTTCCGAGAGTTTACTGTTGACGAAATGTATGTCTTTTTTCTTATATGGTGACACTATGTTAAAAAACACTTGGTTACAAAAATTATGTCATAACTAATATGGTAACTACCATCCAGAATTCACTAGTGTGTAAAGTTTGCAAAGGTGATGATCGAAACTATTTTCATCCCAAGTGATCAATCACGTTCGCAGATCAGGTAGAAACAGAAACAGGAACGACTTGTTTGTATTTTTTAGTCTGAATTTCTGTAAAACCGTCACAGGAACTTTAGAGACCGTTCTAGCATATCCTGAAATGACTATCAAGATTTCTTAATTCAACAAAAAGCTTCTTTTCAGACTAAAGTAAAGGAAATTAAGTATCTCAGTATTTTCATATATGGCTTTTAGAGTTACTGATACAATAATTAAGGTTCTGAGGTTATACGTACTTATCATCATGTTAGATTGTCAATGCAAGGTTATTATGGGTTAGAGTAATGTCTTATACAATCACAAACTGAGAAGTGCAGGTGATTACGACATCAACTAGCGTCGAAAAATTCTTTCAAAAAATATTCTGCAGTGGGTAATTTTGACATAGATTAAAACTGTTTTTCATTAGGGTCTTGATGAAAATAACTGGATTTTTACTATCTTCAATGCCTAATCTGAGGTAATTAGCAATTCACTGAATAATGACAGTTATAGCAAAATAAAGTATTTTTATTAACGTTGGAAAGTAATCCAGTATTCATTTCTGGCAGTTGACAAGAGCGGATAGGTAATGAGAATTTATTTCTTATACTCTCTACATGTCTGCTTACCTTAAAATCTTTACTTATCATACGAAAGCCAAACTTCCAGAAAGCGGCATAACCAACAGTTTCAGTTATTCGCATATAATCAGTTTTAACTACTGTTAAATTATTCACCCAGAAATCATCAGTGAAAACATAAGCCCCATCGAACTTCTTTTTCCAAACATCTTGAGGTAAATAAAGAGGTAAGTTATCAGTAATATATAAGTGATGTATCAAAGCACAGTTAAGTAAATTACATAAATTGAAAATCAGGTTACTTAAAAAATGATGTAATTTAATTTCATTTGTGATACCTTAAGAGATGTAAACAGGCTTAATTTAGTGCAAAATTGAGAATACAGGAATACGTGTTAGATGTAGGCAGTAAAATAATGACCTAAAAATAAAGCCCGAAATAATGATTGCCTATTAACTACATTACAGAAGTTTTTCAGATCACTGAAGTCAATCAATTAATAAATGCGGAGAGAGAAATTTTGAATATTGAGAAATCAATGACACAAAAGACCTCATAGCGTTTATCATCACGATAATGTTTTTCTGTTCATACAGGAAACTGTTGAGTGAGTAAAAACAATGCTAACGATGTCATCAATTTAATTCTCCATATAAAATGGCCTAAATGGGATTGTATAAGAAATGTGTGTTCAAGTATTGAGTAAGAATCAACCAACAGTCATGGCTTAGTTTAATGCACACTTCTATTCAGAAAGTTAATGAAAGATGCATAAATGGCCAGATCATGGGGTTCTAAGCAATGTGCATCGTTTGATTTTTCAAACCAACCACAGAGTATCGGTTAGATTGAGAAGTTCCGCTTCATTTTAAGCCATATTATGCTACCAAATCAGTTGTTTTTAGCCGACTTCAGTAACGGAAGGTACCACCTAATGGGATTTTCACCACTCTAAATACCTAAATTTATCGCATTTTCAGTGGACTCAGATTTATGTTCTCGGAAGCTAGCATAAGATCTGAAAGCTTGGTCAGATATTCGGGTTCATAAAGCGTCTTGAAATACTTTCAACAACTTCATCGAAGAATTTCGCTTGATGAAAAAGGAGAAGGCGTCGATGAGGCAAAGTAGTAATCAGAAGTCATGAGGAATTACCATCACAACTTATAATGCTGATACTGCCTGAGCATCTCAAGATTTGATATCTCACATACAAGCAAAGACGTCACAGAAGCTTACGATATGTAAGTCACCGCAAAGCGTTTCTCAAGGAACAAACAAATGTCGTAAATGCCAGTCGATTTACACCCATCAGCTAAAAAGAGGCGATAAATGTAATCCAAAGAACGAGGTTGGGGTCACACTACTGGATAATGGCCGGTGGTTGAATTCATAAGGCAGATTTGATCCTGTTAGATACTTGTCAACTGGATAACCTGCCCCATAGCGAGTGATGTTATTCCCGTTGAAACTGGAGTCCAGCAGGCATCATACGTCACTCTGTGACCATAAGAACAACAGCTTGAAATGGAACAAACAATGTAAAGGTATGTGTTGTGATGCCCCAGTCTTGTATAAAACATTGTTATTGATCTGAACGTTTTAACGTGTCATTCCCACATTATTTTTACTGTATGACTAATAGTCTTTCTGCCCCCATTGTATGTAATTTGCTGATTGGTTAACTTTTACTCTTACTATGCGAATTTCTCCAATTGCGGACAAGGTCATTTTTCATGTGTATACTTATTCACGTGTCTTGGATTGATTCATTGTTATTATATTACATTCTCGGAGTAATACACTCTCCCATCTGCCAGCTTCGGTCTTCTCTCTATTCGTCCCGGGGTTGCAGTCAGTGTCTCTTGCGTACCAAGTTAGCTGTCAGCTGAGCGCACGCACTATATTCGTTCTGGAACATATACATATACTATAAGCGCATCGAAACCATAACAGTATGCATTGACGAAGTCATGAAAGCAATAATCGTCATCACTGAAATATTTTAACAGGGATAGACTAACAACAGTTTACTGGTTTGTGCTATAGTTTATCTTAGTTTGTTCATTAACCACCGCCTCAGTGAAACCCAAATGAAAATTTCACTGCACCTGTTTGCCGATTCCATGCTTCATTGGCATCAAGCCCGGACTCACCATCGATATGATGACTACAGACTGCCCTTTCGCAGACTTTTGAAACTATTATCCACTACTTTCATTGAACATACTCAAAAATGCAGACACAAATCTTCCACTGCGTTCTGTCAGTGCAGTTGCTTAGTGCGCACACTTATGTGAGTTGAGTGATGACAGATATATATATCCTCAATAGCTTTAAGAATACGTTTAAGAGAGACGGATTGCATCTTTCCGTCACACAATTCGGTTTCATGTGATATTACATTGTACTTATAGATGTATTCTCTACTTACCCATTATCCTAGAAGAACTTTTGGCGGAAAGTGTGGGTTCACATTAACCTGCCAAAGTAGCCGCTCTCATAGCCACTCAATTCTAAATTTGAGACATTTAACGAGGAGAAAAGTATATACACATGAAAACATCTGGTTTAGCTATTCATCACAAGTAGGCGCGGGCTCAAAATACCTGACTCACCTTTGAACGTTACCACATTGATCACTGCCATAATTATATCACTGGGTAATTCATGTTGAGTTTTGAAATACTGATCGATTAACCCTCCAGATTTCTTCTTAACCCAGTTGTTGATCATGCTTACTGATGCGGTCTGATCTTCAAAATCTACCTATATATTTTAAAAAATGAACAAGTTGAAAAAAAATTGGATCTAAGAGCTAGTTTCCATTGGAACTCTGCAAAACAAACAATAATAATCTTTCTTCATGACTGAAGAAAATGATACCAAGACCTAGTTCAGACAAGACAATAGGCGATATATGAATACTCAGTTGACTTAGAGATGCATGTTGATACGAGCTGTTTCGTTCGGAAGCCAACTAATATACGTATGCATACCAGCAGATGTCAAACCTTTCATATCATTGTGGACATCATTCTCAGTCTGACAGTTACCTGTTTGACGTTTTTATTGACTTCATACTTCGATACTTGTTGCTTCTGTTCTAAAGCCAATGTTTGTTTCTAGCTGTTTAAGATTATCTTAGAGCTGGACTCAGTGAAATTAGTCAGTGGGGGATAACAGTGATACTAACTATATTCCAAACAATTTTGATGCAGTTCGGAAATCTTAGCATGGTGTATTACAAGAAGAAAGCTGTGAATAAAGTGGATGCTCATTATTAGATAAAATAAATGTAGCTACTCATCTGCATGCATTCAAATGTCTGTCAACTACAGTGTTAAATGGTTAGTTCATAGATACAACACGTATCTTACTGATAGCTTCCAAGGCTTTGCACAGTATAACAAAATCCCTTTTTAGCAGACCATGAAAGGTTAACGGAGAACAACAAAAAATAATAGATAAAATACGAGAACTAGTAAGTTGTAAAAGTAGAGGCTGAATAGTGACAGGAGCATCAGCTTCCTTACATAATATGTTAAAAGTCAACAAGACATGCAAAGACCAACAAAATTCAGAATAAAGCTCAATCCAAGATAGATAACATTCGATTTACTTTGTACAGTAAAACTATCAATACTACTGGAGTTATGGAACCAAAACAGCTCAGGTAAGTCTTCTCTATTCTCAAGGCTAAAATTAACACTCTGTCATTTGAAAGAGACTGAAGAAGACCACTGTCCGATTCCGGATAAAAACCATTTATTTGAGGGCAGTCCATTTGACAGACAACTAGCGCACAACTCATCAGATCATCAGGACACTTAACAAATTAGTTTTCACGGAATACATTAAGTTATGCGATGAGAAAGAAAACAGAAATGTAGGCACATCGACTTCAAAAACCGATAAAGTGGAACGATTTCTTTTATAAACAACATGCTGCTTTCTTTCAGAAAAATAAGAATGCAGCCAGTTTGCTACCCTGGGCTCAGTATAAGCAACGCAAGCTGCTTCAACAAGAGTGGTCCGGTAGGAGATTCAGAGTCTGATGTGAAATTTAAGAAAACAAAGCGAAAATACTTGGCAATTCTGTGTAGACTACAAGCGACATTATTCTGCAAGACGTTGCCAGCATCAAACTTACGTCTCCTGTGTTTCCAAGCAAGTTGTTTCCGATCTCTTGAACCCTTTCTGAAAGTTCAAGCATACACAATAGTAATTTCTCCATTATTTTCAAAAACGAAGAGGTAATAGAAATGGGTTTAAACTTTGCATCTGATCGAGATGGCTTAAATACAGGCATAAATTTATTCTCCTTTCAAGCAGCAGGTGTTATATTTTTGAAAAAAAATCCGTTTTCTAGAAATAATACATGTAACACCATCAGGACTTAGGCTTTAGAAATGATCCAAGGATTCGCAACGTCTAAAATACCATTTAAAACCTGAAAAACAACTTCCTGCGTGATTACAGACACTAAGAAAGGTGAAATCAGCTTGTCGACGCATAAATTACTGGTTTGATGGGCAAAGGTCAGAAAAAGCTTATTGAGTCATTTATTTTCTATCAGTAAGCTCTTTAAATAATTTCTACATATTGGAGTTCTTATTTGACAGAAATTCCTGGTTGTATGTCGTAGGCGTGTAGATAATAAAATTCCTTCAACTAATGCTATACATTAAGAGCTGTCTGTTAATGAAGGCTGCATAGTGTAGATCAATCAACGTGTACTATATGGTTGTATTGAAATTGGTGCGTATAACATAGTCTATTTAAAACAATGGACTGGCAGTACATCCTAGAAGTGCAGGTTCAACAGACTTTGAGAAACTGTAAGCATTTTAAAGTTATTTTTCATAGACTAAGAGATTTCAAAAGTTTGCATAAGTAGTAGAACTATGAATCAAACATGCCGTTTACTTTATTTGAATTTCATTCAAAACAATGAATATTTTACGCACTTTGATCGACTGATTGTACAATAAAATAATATCTACTAGCATAATACTCTACTATTTTTAGTCGGAGTACAACATAAATGTATATGGATTCAGTTTTGGAAGGTTTTTAACTACAAATGTTTTTCAGTCAATATATATTTCATGCTTACGTGTCTATAAATATAAATGAACAAAATCTTACATTTTTCACTTCACACATGAATTCATTCTTTACCAATCTCTTGAAACGCTTATCGAAAGGATATTTTTGCTTCAAGAATACTCCTGTTTCAGCACTGACAACATTAACTTCGTTTTGCTGTATCACAGTCTTCTCAGCCGATAAGCTTTTTTTCAAAAAAGATACAAATTTTTCGCTCTTTGTCTTGCTGAAGAATTTTCATTTCGTTGTATTTTCAGCGCGTATTTCACCTGTCTAGCAGTATTTTGTCGAATTCCATTCGATCCCAGAAGCGTGGTAAGAACAAATAGCACACCAACCGGGCAAACTGCATAATTTTCATCTTAATTACCATGTAATGTTAAAAAGGAAAGAAATAATGAGAAAATATCCTACAGTTTGGGTTACTTTTTTAATGGATAAAATACCAAAAACAAGCATCACATCATATGTTTAATGAAAACATGCGTAAATGCAATCTCATACAAAGAAAAAGGTTTGATGTCAATGGGAATCTTTTTTCGAAATAAAGACGTATCAGTCTGTTTGGAAATGGTCTTTCAAGTCATTATTCATCGTAGACTGACATCAGTTGAAGGAACAAAGGAAACCTGGGAGCACTAGACAACTGTTTCGTCCTAGTATGACACTCCACAGCAGTGCGCACCCACGACCCGCCAGGGATCGAACCCGCGACCTTCAGGTTCCGTGGCCAGCACGTTACCATTGAGCCACTGGGTCAGAATCCAATGGTCTATATTTCCAATTTCTGTTAGCTCACAATATATTTGCTTTATTCCAAACTATAATTATGTTTACAGTTCAGAGTTCTCACTATGCGATATTGCATCAGTTTACTTGTTGAATAACATTTTTCAAATCTTTATTAAAAACGGTGCTGTTTAACAGTATGTGATAATGAAGAACACGACTGTTTAAATGTTTAATGATTTCACGGACATGATAACTATTCGCCATGGCAAAGTTAATTCATAAAACTATGTCTAACAGGATTTTCTTCACACAATACACAAGCTAAATAAGGTATGACATTAGATATAGATTGTATTTGTGTAAGTCAAGGCGGGTTTGAAATCAAATAATTCCAACGTTTCGCACAGAAGTCTGGTCCGAGCTCCTTCACGGAAATAATCAAAATTAAAATATCAAGGATATATATATAAATGAACTCAAAAAAACGTGTATTTTATCTCCTTGTCCAATCCTCTTCGTATAGTCATTGTCTTTCTAAATTATGATAACTAATTCATTGTATAAGATGTATTTTTACTTGTGTATTCCCGGCGTAGTATATTAGAGCAAATAACAAAATAAACAAATATTTTGTATTATTCCTCAACGTTTCGATCTTGCTAGGAAGATCCTTTTCAAGAGTATGAATCTGACACTAAGTTTTCAGGTTAATATACAAGTTTTGGTACAGAAAGTGGTGACCTTCACAACCATCCAGTTACATAGTGATATGGAGTAAAGATCGATGTAACACAGGTGAGTGAATAAGCAACTCAGTCAGAGAGGTTTTTCTGTTGTGCGAGTAAGGTGGAACGAAAATAGGGTGGGGAAATTTTTCAGTTCGTCTATGAAAAGTACAATGGGGTTGTGAGACATCAAAGGTGAGAAAGAATAGATTACTAGTTTGGAAGGATGAATATTTGAAGACCAGACAGTATATCATAAATAAATAATCGTAATGATAACCATAAATTTACTTTTGATAACACTTGAAGTATGAGTGATAACAAAATGGATTATATGGAGTATTGGATTCTGACCCAGCGGCTCGGTGGTAATGCGCTGGCCGCGGAACCTGAAGGTCGCGATTTCGATCCCTGGTGGGTCGTGAGTGCGCCCTACTGAGGAGTCCCATACTAAGACGAAACAGCTGTCCAGTGCTCCCAGGTTTCCTTTGTTCCTCCAACTGATGTCAGTCTACGATGAATAACAACTTGAAAATGGATTATGTTATGGTTCATCGAATGTATATGACTCAGAAAGTAGTGTAAAATTGATGAAAATAGATCAGTAAAGTGCTGTGTAATAGGACTAGACAAGTTGTTAAAATGCAACCAATATATTTTTCCTCTTTTTCCTAGTGGTTAAGACGATTAAGAGAAAAAACACCGGAAACTATTCAGACAAGAATGAATTCGGAATAAATCATGTGGAATGAAATTGTGTTCTACCTTCTCTTCATATATTATTTACAACTGCCTAGGCTAGTCATTAATGTTTGCTATATTAGTAGGATGTCTAACCTATCTTTTCTGTTGACCGAAGAAGGATATGAGCAGATGTGCAAAGCTTCTGCAATGGTCCGCTCTTTGTGAGAGAGAAAACCCTTCTGCAGGACTTTTGTCTGTTCAAATGATATTTTATGATTTGAATATAAGGCATGAACCGCGATAGCAGAGCTTTTTCGGTGGTTTTTTGGAACTTCGACCGTGTTCGGCTAGACGTGTTAGTACTTGACGTGATGTACCTCCAATGTATGTAGTACCGTATTCACTGCAGTCTACTTTATAAACACAGTTTTGTTGTTCCAAATGGGGAATTGGATTTTTTAATTTACACAAGTGTGAGTGTAATGTATTCATCACCTTAAAGAATATTCTGATGTTGTAACTATTAAGGATACGTCTTATTTCCTTTGAAGCGGATGTTCGAAAAAGAGGCACTATAGTACTTATCCAATCTTTATAGCTTGGCTTTTTCATATTTTTATTCGATAGACTTTTTTCGGTCCTTTTTAATAGTTTGCCTGGATAGTTATTTTGTCTTAAGACTTCCCAAACAAGTCGCCTATCTGCTTGCTGAAATTCCACTTTGTTTGGTATCCTTTGCGATCTCGTCAACAGGTTTTTGGCAACGTTTAACTTAGTTTCCAATGGGTGGGCCGAATCGAAGTCAAGGCACTTGTTAGAATGTGTATCTTTTCAATAGACATCAATGTCAAGTGTCCCATCACTGTTTCGTATCGCCTTGCAGTCTAGGCAAGCTAACGTTCTGAATTCTGTTTCTAGTTCACATGTGAATTTTACAGAATTGAAACTGCTGTTAAGGTATTCAAAAAGATTTTCTAATCCTTGCTTTTTGGTTATGACGAGGGTGTCATCAACATACCTCCTCCATATTCTTGGTTTTAAATTGTGTTGGTTAAGTAGGTCTGATTCTACTTTGTGCATGTATAGATTAACGACAATGGGTGAGACAGGTGAACCCATTGCTACCCCACTGGTTTGACGATAAAGGTCCTCTCGAAAAGTAAAATAGGTTGAGGTCAGACATAATTTCATTGCATCACAGATTACACTGATGGAAATATTACATCTAAGTGATAAAGAATTATCTGACTCCAATAAAAATCTAACAACTTGTATGCTTTCATCAATGGGAATATTTGTATACAGAGAAACAACGTCAAAGCTAACCATTGTTTTATCATCTTCAATAGTTGTTTGTAATAATTTATGTTTAATGTCTAATGAATTTTTAGTGAGACTTACCAAACTGTCTTGTAATTGTTTTTTTGTTGTATGGCGTATGTATGTTATATGTGTATGTATACATGTACTCCAATTCATATTCTTCTTGATTGTAAATATTAGACAAAAAGGTCACTGGTGTCATAGTCATTCGTTAATTTTATAGGTACAAATTGAAAGGGGTGAGGTGGATTTGTATACAATTTCAGTTGGAGTAAAGTGGTCAATAGTGTTAGCGAATTTTTTTTTGATTTTTCGCATTGATTTACCGGAATTAGAGTGGAAATGAGTGGTAGTAATGATCGTGGTGGTGATGATGATAGTAATAATGAATCGAACACAATTCATTGATAAAAGTTGTGTAATGTCAACCTTTTACTCAGCGCCCAATATTTACCATACTATACGATCAAATCTTGATCATTGTTTATAGAAATAAGGTATGGTTGAATTTTGTATGTAGTTGTGCGTGCATAGAGTTTAATATATTAACTTGTGTTCTCAGAGGATGAACATAGAAAGGTGCAGATGCAGAGGATGCCTGTCATCAGAGAAAATATTTTTAGCTAGTGGTGTACAAGAGTTTGGATGTCTATCGACGACCGCATTTATCAGCACGGTTAGTGGTACAGCATCTCCTCTACTAACAGCCTTCAAAATCCTACTCAATACAACGTAGTCTTTTTTCCCGAATTTAGGAAATAATAAGCAGGAACAATAAATGTAGGCAAAATATAGGAACTAATGAAACGTAGGAACAGAGTCTGTCATGCCAGACACACTAAGTTCTCTTTTATAAAAGTTAAGTGAAGGATTTTTTGGAAATCAGCAAGATATGAGGGAACCAAGAAAGATCAGAAGAAAAGTATAAGCCAAAATGGATCACGCCTGTTGCACTCTTTACAACAGAGCCGTCTATAGGGCAAGGGTTATAGGACTGAAACAGTTTACACAGGTCTTGTTCACGTCTTAAGCTAAAATTAACCATCTGAAATTTGGAGGGATTGAGTGCATGACCATTTAAGGAAGACCAGTAACTAATCTTGGTAAGAAGATATTAAACAGAACAATCTGAAGAGGAGGTATTCAGCATGGATACTCCCAGGTCACTTGCGTACTTAACAAAGCTTTAGTTGAGGTTGGTGGGTAATGCAAAAAGAAGGAGAAAAGAGGGGAAAGAACAGCAACTTGTGCAACGCCGGCTTCACTGGGCAGCAAAGCAGAAAACTTTTTTCTGCATAGACTACACTACCTTCTCTCTTAAAAATAAGAATCAAGTCAGTTTGCAAATCAGGACGAAGGTGAGTTCTGGTAAGTTTGTTTAACAACAGAGGTCTCAGGATAGAGTCAAGCACAGAAGTATAATGTAAGAAGGCAGATCTAACATACTTAGAACATTTGTCTAGACTGGCAACGATATTATGATGTAAAACAACTAAAGGAACCAAGGCAATCCATCTGGGTTTATAGAAAAATTGATTTGGATCTCTAAAAGCCTCTGAAGGAAGTTTAGGCACATGAAACAACATTTTCTTCATAGTTTTTAGGAATAGTGAGGTTAGTGTGACCGGTCGAAATTTCCCTTTTGCTCCAGAAGATAAGGACTTAGATACCTGAAACATTTTAATTTTGTTCCAGGAGTTTGATGAGTCATTTCTAGCAAAATACATTGAAACTGCGGATGGCAGAGAATATCAGCATATTTCGTAAAAAGAATACCTAGCATGACATCTGATCCCAGGCTTTGCGAACGTTTTAATGATTTTAGGCATTTGAACACATCTGTTTAATTGAATTTAGGAAAACTGCTTTTTTCTGTGAGAAAACTAGATCAGATAAA